AGGTGAAAAGCAATATAAAAAATTAAGCTGTCTACAGCTTTGCTTTATGAATGTCTATGGATGTTGCCTCATGTGCAATGGCAGGGCACACTCTCCAGGCCACTGACCATGCAAGACACCTGGAATAGTTAGAGATGTGCACTGTACATCTTCAGAATACAGACTGGTCAAAACACCAATCAAAATTATGAAAGTGTTTGTGGACATTTCTGGTGCCAGCTGTTTTTTTAAAGGTAGCAAAACATTGAGAGCCATGCCAATGTATCACTAGGGTACTTGGGAGGGTTTTCTCTGGCAGACAACATGAAAAGGCTCTGAGAAAAAATGGGAAGGAAAAGGTGGCAGAGACTGAAAAGTGGTAATGAGCAAAGCATGAAAAGCAATCCAGTATCAGTTGCTCTGAACTGTTACTTTGGTATCACTGAATGGTTGTCACAAGTGGTGGAAAATGTGATCTCCAAGGGAATAGTAAGGGGTTTTGGCTGCTCTTGCTATGCAGCTCATTCACTGCTTTGGCAGACACACAGAGGAATTGATCTACCAGGTTTGAATGACAGAAGCACCCCCTGTGAACCCAACCATTCCTAGAAGCCATGGGTTGTTGGGGTAGTCTGTTCATCCAAAGCAAGCCACCCTGTGGGAAGTGATCCAGAATCGCAATGTCATGACGACCCATCAAGGCTAGTTACCCACAATGGACTGTCATGTCATACATGCCTAGACAGTATGGGAGGGAGCCACGCACAACTGTGGTCCATATTCCATAGGGAAGGATCACCAAAGGAAAGTCCCCATTGTCTTGTGGCTTCTAACCTGATTGATTTTACTGAGGGGCACATGAGCAGGGCTCCTATGGCCAGTCTTTCAGCCTGAGTATTGTGTCTGCTAAAAACATAAGTACTACAGAAATTCAAGGAAGTGGCATCAGGGAGTGGTAGTGCCCCTTTATGGATCAAGAAGAGCAGAATATTACTGAATACTATTGCCAAAATCCATCCGCAGCTAAGTTTTACATTTTTAGGGTTTGGATAATGTTTGGATTATCTCCTTCATGGATCACTGCCTTATCGTGGCAAAGGGGCTTGCGTAGCTCAATGAAGCTATGAGCTATGCCGTGCAGGGCCACCCAAGATGGACAGGTCATAGCAGAGAGCTCTGACAAAACATGATCCACTGGAGAAGGAAATGGCGACCCACTCCAGCATCTTTGCCATGAAAACCCCATGGACAGTACCAAAGGGCAAAAAGATATGACGCCGGAAGATGAGCCCCTCAGGTCGAAAGGTGTCCAATATGCTACTGGGGAAGAGCGGAGGGCTAGTACTAGTAGTGCCAGAAAGAATGAAGCGACTGGGACAAAGCCGAAAGGACACTCAGTTGCTGATGTATCTGGTGGTGAAAGGAGAGTCCGATGCTGCAAAGATCTATACTCTATAGGAACCTGGAATGTAAGATCCATGAATCAAGGCAAGCTGGATGTGGTCGAACAAGAGATGACAAGACTGAACATCAACATCTTAGGAATCAGTGAACTAAAATGGACAGGAATGGGTGAATTCAGTTCAGATGACCATCAGGTATACTACTGTGGGCAAGAATCCCTCAGAGGAAATGGAGTAGCCTTCAAAGTCAACAAAAGAGTAGGAAAAGCAGTACTGGGATACAGTCTCCAAAATGACAGAATGATCTCAGTTCGAATCCAAGACAAACCATTCAACATCACAGTAGTCCAAGTCTATGCCCCATCCACTGGTGCTGAAGTGGCTGAAGTTGACCGGTTCTATGAAGGCCTATAACACGTTCTAGAATTAACACCCCAAAATGATGTCCTTATCATCATGGGGGATTGGAATGCTAAAGTAGAAAGCCAAAAGATAACCGGAATAACAGGCAAGTTTGGCCTTGGAGTACAAAATGAAGCAGGGCACAGGCTGGTAGAATTTTGTCAAGAGAATACAATGGTCATAGCAAACACTCTTTTCCAACAACTCAAGAGATGACTCTACACATGGACATCACCAGACGGTCAACACAGAAATAGGACTATGTGCTTTGCAGCAAAAGATGGAGAAGCTCTATGCAGTCAGTAAAAACTAGACCAGGAGCTGACTGCGGCTCAGATCATGAGCTTCTCGTTGCAAAATTTAGGCTTAAATTGAAGAAAGTAGGGAAAAGCACTAGGCCACTCAGGTATGACCTAAATCATATCCCTGATGAATATACAGTAGAGGTGGCAAATAGATTTAAGGAATTAGATCTGATAGACAGAGTGCTTGAAGAACTATGGACGGAGGTTCGCAACATTGTACAAGAGGTAGCAACTAAAACCATCCCAAAGAAAAAGAAATGCAAGAAAGCAAAATGGCTGTCTGAGGAAGCTTTACAAATAGCTGAGGAAAGGAGGGAAGCGAAAGACAAGGGAGAAAAGGAAAGATACACCCAAGTGAATGCAGAATTCCAGCGAATAGCTATCAGAGATAAGAATGCCTTCTTAAATGAACAGTGCAAAGAAATAGAAGAAAACAATAGAATAGAGAGGACCAGAGATCTCTGCAAGAAAATTGGAGATATGAAGGGAACGTTTCATACAAAGATGGGCATGATAAAGGACCAAAATGGCAGGGACCTAACAGAGGCAGAAGAGATTAAGAAGAGGTGGCAAGATTACACAGAAGAACTATACAAGAAAGAGCTTAACGTCCCTGATAACCATGATGGGGTGGTCACTGACCTCGAGCCAGACATCCTGGAATGTGAAGTCAAATGGGCCTTAGGAAGTCTGAGCAACAACAAAGCTAGTGGAGGCAGGGAGGCAGTATTCCAGCTGAGCTATTCAAAATCTTAAAAGTGCTACACTCAATATGCCAGCAAACTAGGAAAACTCAACAGTGGCCACAGGATTGGAAAAGGATTTCGAAGAGGGAGAAGAACTAGAGATCAAACTGCCAACATACGCTGGATCATGGAGAAAGCTAGGGAGTTCCAGAAAAACATCTACTTCTGCTTCATTGATTATGCTAATGCCTTTGATTGTGTGGATCACAACAAATTGTGGCAAGTTCTTAAAGAGATGGGAGTACCAGACCATCTCATTTGTCTCTTGAGAAACCTATATGCGGGTCAAGAAGAACAGTGAGAACTGGACGGAACCACTGATTGGTTCAAAATTGAGAAAGGAGTTCAGCAAGGCTGTATACTGTCACCTTGCCTATTTAACGTATATTTCTCCCTATGATTTTCCTGAAACCTAATTAAAAATATTGTAATACTGATGTCTACAGAAATAGTTCTGGCAGTTACACAGTTCTTACACACATCATTTTATTCACACAGCAGGAACACAGCAGAAAGGCAAGGTAGACTTTGAGCACCGCCACTTTTCTTAGGTGCCTCTTAGCCCAGCTTCAGGGTTTTAAAATCTAGACTTGAAAAACGTGTAAAACAGGCCCAGACTGTTCACAACTAGGAAATACTTCTTCTAGCAGTCAATACGCATACAATACAAATTTCCCCTAAGCTATGGCAATCCATAGATTAATTGTCTAGTCCCTCAATGCCATGCCTTACCTAGGTTTTCAGCTAAATTTGGAAACTCCAAGCCACTTGTTTTTCAAGTTTCCACTTTCCCCTTAACTCTAACATAATAGCCTAAGCCCTGAGCAACTTTACCTTATTCCCATTATGGACCAACACCTTCCTCAGCAATGCAATTACTATTACAATTCATTTTTCCAGAACAGAAAAGTCAGATAAATAGCCAGGTATTTTAATACAATGATTGAAAACACTATTGTTAGTTGTTACAGACAAAGCCTGCAACAAAATGTTGCACTATGCTCTTCTAGGGTGAGAGGTTTCAAGCCGATTATAGCTTGCTGCAGAATTCAGAACCAGTGGTCTATCCAGTCCAGCACTCCATTCATATGGTGGCAAACCAGCAGTACACAGGTTCCCTCAGGCAGGATGGGTACAAGGCTTTAAACCCAAGCTCCTCAGCAACTGGTACATGGAAACAAGCTTCCTCTAGTAAAGGAGATAGCACACAGCCAACAAGGAGCCCCCATGGATTTGTCCAATCCCCTTTTAGAAACTGGTGGCCTTCGCCACTTCCTGTGGAGTTGTAAGTGAGTCAAGCAAGCAAATACGCTCTCAGCATCCCCACCTCGTTTTTCCATTTTGCTCTTCAAACAGATATAACATTCCATAATTCCTCATATCCACATAGCAGGATCAGTCATCATTGGCCTGGGAAGTGCAGGAAGAGGTTGCCCCTTTCTGATATATTTTTTTGAAATTTGACAGACCTCGTTTCCACTATGATTTCTGCTAATACTTTCCACTCTTGTTTCAGTGTCCCTTTTGGACCCCATTTTCTCAACTCTTTTCTAATAACAATGAATTAGGTATTAGAAGAAATAATGTAAGATCAGCAGCACATCAGCAGCATCGTTACCAAACATCAGAAGTTTCAGTGCACAAATATGTAGTCAAATGGATATGTGTACAATAGTTAAACACTTTATCCTACAAGGGAAGTGCCATCTCTGTAGGAAAACAGTAAAGATTAAAGATGACTAGATTTCCAAACATGTTTGGAAATTTGACATAAACTCACAAAATATAAGAAAGATAGCTTGTAAATTGTACTTCCTATGTGTCTTATGCTTTTTAAAAAATTGATTTCTTTCTGAAAACAATTTATTACCACATAAATGTCATGATTTCCTTACAGGGAATGGGATCTAATGATGCCTTCAAAAGCAAAATTGGAAACTAAACAATAACTGCTCCCCTTATGGACATTCTCAAAATCAACTCCAGAAAGCCAAGAATCCTCCAGAGTAAATTTTTTGGGCAGTACAGTCTATGTGGGGAGAAGAAAGAATATAAGACTAAGTCCCTTTAGCAGATTTGCACATGCATGATTTTGGATTTAATCCATAGACAGAGATAAAGAATCTAGTCTGTCACATATGTGATTTTATACATTCCTTACTCACCTGTGACGGCATCATAGAATTCCTCTTCACTATTCATCCTCTTAAGTTGGAATATTTTTCTGCACCAGCAGATTATGTTCCTTTAATGCATAGCTGCTTTTGACATGAAGTTTTGATGTTTTTTACAAGGAGCAAAATCTTTCTAGATGATCTGTTTAAAGAGGAAAAGACAGGTGTTTCATCTTTTAAAATGTATTTTCATAGATTGAAATCATTTCTGGCCAGATCCTTCAATGCAGTATATTGTTCATATCAATATTCAGGAGCTTCTGCATCTTACAAGACTCCTACACCAAGCTGCACAATAGGCTACTTTAAAATATTTATTTAAAGTACAATTATTGGTCTTCCACGGTTTTCTCATAACCTGCCATTTTTTTAAAATACTGGGCTAAAGTGAGCAAGCCGGCATGCTGGTGCACACAGCTCAATCCCTCCTGTTTGTTTCCTCCTGCCAGCAGGAACAGCTTAACAAGCCAGGGATTCTCTGTCCCTGGACTGGTAACACAACACCCAAACCAGTAAGTCTGACTTGCTTCCTCTGAAAAGTTAGAGTTGTAATCTAAGGACAAACTCTGGTATTCAGCACAAATCAATGAAGTAAAGATTGAAGCTAATAAAAAAGGAACAAAACAAAGCATTAAAAACCTGGATTGTCACAATATTCAGGCCCTGGCATAGTAGAAGCTAAACTTCAGATCACATTTTTCTTAATGGTTACAAAATGGTTTGACAGGCATTGCAGTTCATGGTCATATACTATAATTGCTCATGTTTCTGTATAAATTACTAAATGGACTGCATTTTCAAAACAAAAAGCTTCAGAATTGTTATAGCACTGTTTCAATTTCTAAAATAAAAATGTAATACTGAGTTGACTTTCTAAAAGCTGCACAGAATTAAGGCTGTGTTATCAGAAAACATTTTTCATGTCCAGTGATAATTTTATGTACACAAACAGATGAGATAGTTTTTTTAAAAAAATTGCCACTTAAGCATTAAGAAATGAAGACATTAGGACAGAAATTTAGAAAAGGCATATGAGATTCTGTCTCAAAAATTCATTTCATATGCCCTGAAAATAATAATTTGCTTAATTCCTCACAACTCCTGCAGAAATAATTTGCAAAATAAACAGAACATTTGGCTGGGCAGCGATTGTAATGCAGCTCACAATGAGGTAGGTAACTGTTATACTCAAGAGCATGGTTTTGCTCCCTTCTCTATCTCACACACAGGTCTGTTTCATGCACACATTAATATCAGCTTGCACTTCCTACATGGCCATTTCCCCCCCAACATATACCAACAATTGCATTTGTCCCTCCTGATTATCCACTCAGACCAAAGAGGTGGAAATAGAGACGAAAAGAGAATATAAGAGAATTCTGAAAGATCTGAGGTAAAATGAAAGACTGCTAGGACAAAGACTAAGGCACCCAAAACAACAGTTGGGAGAGAACTGGGGGAAATGGTGGGAGCCCAGCCCCTTATATACCAGGAGGAGGAGGGACATGGTTCCTACCAAAATGAGCTTAGCTAGGAAAAGGAACAACAGGCCAGAGGAGGGACAGAGCCCATATGTGTGATGCACAGAGTCCACCAAGAAGGACTCTTGCTTTGCAAAAGGGTTGAGTATCTGTCCTGTTCCCACCTATCATGTAAATGTACCCTATAGAAAAGTAGGAGGCAACATAGGATATTTCATAGGAGTGAAATAGCTAACATAGCAAACACATGTTAGATCCTCTTCCAACAGGGGTCCATGATCTCATGAAGAAACAGATAAAAGTAGCGATTGATTTGCCAGGGAATCACTGGAACCTAATTGGTGTGGACTTGATCAGGACTAGGAAACCTCAGGGAAGAAAGACGGCAAGCAAGGATTTAAAGCACCTAAGAGGCTTGAAAGAAGTAGCTAACAAAAGCGCCAGAGCAGAGCAGAGCAGAGCAGGAAGAAGGAAAGAACAAAATAAGTAGACTCAAGGTCAAAGGCACAGCCAAATGAACCACTGACCAGTTCACCAGCAGCCTCTTATGTGGGTGCTTTGAAAAAGCAACAGAGCAAGAATAGGTAAACTTTCTTGCTTTTAGATTACAGTTATCTGTTTTTCTTATTATTTGCTTTTTCTCAGGGTTAAATCTAAAAGTAAGTCAAAGGTATCTTTAAAAATCTTCTAGATATATCTTTGTTCCCAATCATAAACATGATAGTCAACGATCATAGATAATTTGTAACTGCCATTAACACTTTCACAGATTAAATTTTCTGCTGAACAAAATGAAAATAGCACACACACATGCAAATCCTGATAGAGGATCTGAAGCTAATTTGAGGGGAGGAGGGAGCACAATAAAGAGTCTGGCAGCTTGAAACATTTACATGTTGTTATACAGTTGGGTTAGTCACTAGTAAGGAAAACTAAAAGGGCTTATGTAGCCTTGTAACTATATAACTTTCCTTTTTCTTCACCTTGAATAATCCCTCCATGAGTATAATAAAGCCAAGATGTCCTAGAACACTTGAGCAAAATTAATATCATATCAAAACAAGAATTCTTAACTTGGCTGCAACAAGATAATGAGATATTTAAATTTAAGCATTTAGTGGTGTGCATTATCTAATTTCCTTGAAGGAAAAATAGTTCTAACGTTTTGTCACCTGGACTTAATGCCAGACATAAGAAGGCACAAAGACAACTTTCCTCTGTAGCAATAAGATATATGAAGGGCACAACCAGATACCTACCTTTAGATAAAAAAAGCCCTACAGCTCCCAGCATGCCCCATTTTGCAATGAGATCCAAACAGGAGAAAATCACTGAACTAAGTAGAGATGTTCATGCAAAGCACAACTGAAATCTGTTGTCATTTCTTAAAACAGAGACAAGAATTTCAAAATGCTATCCAGAATTACATCACCTTCTACCCCACTCTCGTTCACTCAAAAGGAAAAGTTACATTTGAAATCAGAATGCATTGGACTACAGGTTTTACTGAGATGGAAAAGGTGGAGCCAGCGTGGCACAGTGGTTAAGAGGACTGCACTGGAATTCAGGAGATCTGAGTTCTAATTCCCATTCAGCCTGAAACCCATTGGCTGACTTTTGGCCAGTCACTGCCTGACTGCCTAACCTACCTCACAGTGTTGTTGTTATGAGGATAGAATGGAGAGGAGGATGACCTTGTAAACTGCCTTGGGCTGCAGTTCTAAGAGGAAGAAAGGGTGTATAAACGCAATGCAGTAATAATAATGATAAATTTCCTACTAATAAGATGACTTGCTTTTGCAAAACAATAATTATTAAGTATGGAAAGGCAATAGAATATTTCTTCCATGACGTACTTGTATAAATATTGTATAATAGCTGTTGAGTGCTATCTCTGAGTTAAATCTCATTTCCACCATATAAGTCATCATGTCACATACTGGTAGGTCCTGATGATTGTGTGCACCAGTAAAGTACTTATTTGTATTTCTATTCATGCTTTAGATTGTACTTATGTTCATATATGGAAATAATTAAAATGTTGGAATAGGTCTTGGGTGGTTCAGGTTCTAGTCCTCACTCATCCATGAAGCCAGCTGGGTGACTTTGAGCCAGACTCTCACTCTCAGCCTGACTTACCTCACAGGGTTGTTGTTGTGAGGATAAAATGGAAAGGAGGAGCTTAATGTAAGCCACCTTTGGTTTCTTGGAGAAAAAAAGATGGGATTAAAATAAATAAAATTAAATAGATGTAGTGTTAGTTTCCTACTATTCTATGTATTTTAAAAGTTATAATTCAAAACCATATAATGTCTACCTTATATACTGATTCCTGTTGCACAAGCTTGCATATGACCCCTGCAGTTGTAAACCTTTCTCCCAATCCTTAAAAAACAAATATCAGCCGAACAGATAACAACTGTTTGCTTTATTGTTGATTAAAGTGCACAGGTATTAGAAACTAGTATAATTCACAGAAATTAAAAGACTAGTGCGGAGGTTGCTAAACTGTGTGAAGGCTAAACAAGCTGCATATAGATTTCCATGTACTAAACAGTGAGGAAGTACATATCTCAGGGAATATTTCTGCCTATAGAATTCCTCCCAGGGTGCAATTCAGAAGCCTTCCCTGAAGCAGCTCTTGTACTATGGATTTTTTTTTTTTTTAAAGAAAAGGACAACATAAGTCACATATCTTCTATGCATGCAGCACTGCATGATATGAAAATGGCTCCATAAGTTTTTATACTTTGTAGTTTGTTTTAAAATTATTGAGATGCTTTGTTTGGTTCTGATCAAAGCAGCATATACATTTTAATCAAAGTGTCAAAACAAAGGCTGAGATAGGATTTGATCCTATGACACTCAGCAAGGCAACGGCTTAAAACAGTCCTCCATGTCCAGGCTCAACACTGTAACTAATAAAGATCTAAGAAAGTAAGTAAATGTCTGTAGAATTAGGAAGTTTAATTTTGGGGGATGTTTCATACTAAAATTCCAAACAACAGGATTGCCATACACTTTACTGGCCAAAAGCACAACCATCACTGCCCTGATTTCTGTAATGATGCTACTGTGTCACTGCTGGAAATCCCACAAACTCGTCAGGTGAGGGTTAAAGGAAAAGACAAATCTCTCAACTCTTCAACATGTCCACAAGGTATAACAAGCAATAAGCTAAAAAGGCATTCACATGGAATACTCCTTCCCTACAAAATACTGGAATAAAAAAAGCTGCATGGTCCCTCTTGCTCTCTTTAGGTTTTGGAAATAAATATGAAAATGCTGCAAATTCTGACCATTTTCCTAGTTTTAAAGAAGCACTTTTACTTATTTTTAATTTATTCAAACCATTTCTTTTCTGCCCCATCACAGACATCTCGGGATGGTTTACAACAGATTGTTACCTGTTAGCAACAACTGATTATACTACTTAGAGTGGTATTTATGCTTCTGTGTAAAAAGAATGGGTGTCACTTGCAACATTCCACTGGTTATTTGGCAAATAAAGGAGCGCTTGCATCCATATATGCCCTCCCACCCCTTGAGATCGGCGGTAGAGGCCCTTCTTCGGGAACCCTCTGCGAAAGATATTAGGAGGGTGAATACCCGGAGGAGGGCCTTCTCCGCGGTGGCGTCTGAGTTATGGAATGTGCTCCCC